AAAATTGTCCAATATTACAACAAAAATCAGAAGAAACGACTCAAGATTTGTCCAAAATGAATCAAAAAGAGATGAATCTAAAGATGGTTTAAGACGACTGTGAACGTGGCTCATATTTGGACTATCTTCAGACTGTGACCCTGCTGCAGATGTCAAACACAGAAACGCTCTCAGAACCGACCGGTACCGATGAGGACGGGATAACTCCTCAGAGCAGGGTTGGGTTTCTGCTCCTCTTTAGAGTCGTTTTTCATTCGGTAAACAGCGGCTGAGGCGATAACGTCCAGCGCTCAGCCTTCATCTCCGCTCGCTGGACGGCCTTCGTCTCCTCGCCGGAGCCTGAAGCTGTTGGCAGACTGACGAACACACTCGGCCTCAGAGGGACCCTGCTTCAGCCGAGACCAAGGACCCGACCGGACGGAGGACTCGCTTAAGCCTACAAGTGTGTGAACTGTGAGCTTCCCACGCTCCCCTCGTCTCCGGAGGAACATCGGTTAATTAAAAGACGAGGGAGGCTTTAGCGGACGGCGGCCGTAAAGCACCGGAGCTCCCAATCTGCTGCTCGTTACGGGACGTCATCGTGAACGTCGTTAAGAAAGAGACGATTAATTCATCGACGATTTACGCCCGGGCCTCCTCGGGCCTCCTCGGGCCTCCTCGGGCCTCCTCGGGCCTCCTCGGGCCTCCGTGTTGGGTTCAGCTGGAAGCCGGAGAGACGAGGAGCTGGAGACGGCAGCAGCAGTTAATGTGAGCGCCACAGAGAGCAGCCGGCCCAAAAGCCATCTTTGTTCTGTCCCAGTGAATCTGACACAGGAAGCAGGGCGGGTTCTGACTGGTCCTGAACCCCGAGATGGAGAAAAGGGGTAAATACTGAGAGTTCATATCACATCTAGACCAGCTGATGACTGCTGTGTGTGATTTAGAGGAAAGTTTGAACCTCAGCCACCATAAAACATCAACAACACGTCTCATTAAGTTTGGCATTTCTTTCTTTGTTTTATCAAAAATTGGTCAAATTACATGAAAATTGTCTAAAATTTACACACAAGTTGTTCCAGAACTCTCAAAATTTGTCCAAAATGATTCACAAATTGTTCAAAACGACACAAAAAAACTGTCCAAACTTCATCGACGACTGCTGAAAATCCTTCAAATGACATGAAAGTTGTCCAGAATTAAATGAAACTCGTCCCTAATTTATCAAAATGTGTCCGTAGTGACAAAAAACAAACAAATGGCTCCAAAAATGTCCAGAATGACTTTAAATGTGTCCAGTTTGTCCAATAATGTCCAAAATTACCACAAAAATTATTCAGAATGAATCAAATGTCCAGTGTTCAGACTGAGACTCCTGGATGGATGTAGAACTGATCCAGTGTCGGTTCTACCAGAACCCAGATGTGTTCTTTTATCCATCAAAAACTGTTCAAAGTGACAATTATCTGTCCAGAATGACTCACAAATTATTGAGGATGACGTGAATGTTGTCCAAAACTAGCTGAAGGTTTTTGGAGATGATGCAAAAATAAAATAAAATAAAAATGTTGATGCATGAAAATATTTGAAAATTGTCCAAAATGCCACAAAAATGGATCAAAGTGACACAAAATTTGATATGAATGATATAAAAGTGGTCAAAAATTACATGAAAACCCTCAAACGTCTCAAACTTTGTCCAAAATAATACAAACCTGTTTAAAATGAGTCATAAATGGTTCAAAACGACACGAAAAACTGTTGAAATGAAGTCCAAAATAACACAAACATGATCCTAAATGACTCACTGGTTGCAGTTTTTAAACAGAGCTCGAGTGTGTTTATCAAAAATTCAAAAATTACACAAAAATTGTCCAAATGACTGAATGTTGGTCCGAAATGAATCAGAAATTCTTCAGCGTGACCGAAACTGATTCCAAAATTATCTTTATGTTCATCAGAAATACGTCAAAATGTCGTTAAAGATCCAAAACTACACCCAAATTATCCAAAATGTCCACGAGCTTCAGACTGAGACACCTGGATGGATGTAGAACTGATCTGGTGTCAGGTTCTACCAGAACCCAGATGTGTTCTTCCTCCTAAATGTCATGTGTCTATCTGCTGTACTGATGAAGTTCTGAGGCTCAGAAATGATGGAAAAAGTCCATTAAAGTGATCAATCTGGACCCTCCTCTCTGGACTGCTGGTTCTGGTTCTGCTGGAGGCTGTGACGGCCGACTGGGTCGGTGGCTGAGTGGATCAGGAGGTCGGTGGATTCAGCGTTCCTCCTCCAACCGTCCACCGGCTGCTCTGGCTGAGCGACATATGCGCCTCCTCCACCAGAAGCCTGACGAAGCGCCGGGACAGCAGAACCTCTGCTGGGAACAAATATGGACCCGGTGGACGGACGGACGGAGGAAGAGGCTGCGGATTACAGATGGATGAACAGAACCGGGCCCCGTTCGGACCAAACGGCGTGTTCGTTTGTGCAGCAGAACATTCAGCTTACTGCAGATTATGGCGTGGAAACGGCGCCCCAGGCTTTAGCCCGGGCCCGTGTGTGGACCGAGGCCAGCTGGACCGGGCCCGGCTGCAGCTCCACGGGCGCCAACACAAACCTGTAAAGCTGTGCCAGGTCACCGGCGGCTTTCTGGACCGCTCGGATTAACGGCGCTCAGGTGCCCGCCACGTGGAAACGATGGGCTCGACCAATCAGGGCGAGGACGGCGGCGGCGAGCTGCACGGGTGGCGAGGAGGGGTGAGAACAGAACCGAGCCGAGGAGGGGGAGGTGTTCCCTTCAGTCCGCCAACTAGGCTTCATTTAAGTGATTATCACACGGGCCAGACGGGTTCTACAGAACCGCTGTAGTCCAAACTATCAGAGAACGTTTCCACAATCAGGCCCGGTTCCATCCAACAGAATCAAACCCGTCCATCAGTGGATCGAAGCTTTTGTTTGATGAAACTCAACAATTCAAATTAATGCAGTAATTAAACTAATCTGCTGCTTTTATCACCAGAATTCATTCTATTTATAATGAAGCTGAATGAACCTTTAAACAACAACATTTAATTCATCGTTGCTGCTTACTGCTTCCTGCTTCCTGCTTCCTGCTTCCTGCTTCCTGCTTCCTGCTCGTGTCCTTCAGTCAG